CCCCCCCCCCCCCCCCCGTAATAAGAGGCCCGGGCTCTTCTATTATGGTTCCAGAACTTGCAACTTTTTGTGAAAAAACGCCCTAGGGGGTAGGGCGATTTTTACTCTAGGGGGACCTACTATTTCGGGGGAGGGGGGTTATTTTGTTGAAATACATATATCTATCTTTATTTTATTCTAGCAAATTCCTCAATTCTTTCGTCGTTCATCCGACAATGTTAATTATTTATTAAAAAATTCAAGTATTTATTCAATACATTATTTTCATCATATGACAATGAATATACCTATTGAAATAAAATCACCATTTGCTCAAATAGCTGAAATATATTGTCCAAATGTATATAAACAATTAATGAATGAGAATTTATCAAATAATTCATCAAATTTTTTATTAACAAATACAAATATTATTTTATTTTGCTTATGTATATCATTTTTATGTATTTTTATATTAATTTTAATTGGCCATTTTTTATCTTATATTTCAATTTTTCGAAAAATTATGTTTGCCATACGACATAAATTTTATAAAACACATTTTTAATTTATTAAAACAAAAATTAATGAGGTCAGATGTGTAATATTCATATTGATTGTTGTAAAAGAATCGTCTCCTTTCTTTTTTTATATACACTTGTGTTATTTTATTTTTTTCAAACAATTCCTTCGTGATAGAAGTATGAAATAATAAAATACTTTAGAAGGAACTGAAAAGTAAAACTTTTTTTTTTACATTAGATTGTGTCTAATAGAACAAATTGAAACTGTATTTGCTTTTTGATGCATAAGAGGGGACAAAGACAAAACGTAATAGGTGTCTCGAACACCTGGTTATTTGTCCAGGTGTTCGGATTCGACTTTTTTTTACCGGGAGTCTGTAAAACATGTTGGTCAGGGAGACCATAGCTTTAAAAAATATAGCTAGATCGGAACGAAATGCTCAACAGTATGTAAAATATTTTCAGGAAATCGGGTGACGGTATGGCTGTGGATGTGTACTATGAGAGAAGAATGATTTATACACTCACACCCACATCGAATCTAACACCCTGCTTGTTTTAAATCTTTGTCATTCAGAAGATTTCATATGTCGCGAAGTCATGACGAACATCTTGTCAGGGAAACCGTAAAAAAAAGTTGGTGCGTTATGTCTCTTTTCCCATAAGAGAATTATTATCCGTTTGATGGAGTTCATTATGTATCGTGAAGTAAAAATGTATGACTTTCACCACTTCATTTCATTCAAACAATCATTGTGATAATATGTTTTATAATATATCCGATTACTTAAAAGCGTTTATATAAATTAAACAATAATCATTTTTTTACTTCTACTGAATTGAATCTAACCTTTAGATCTATCGTTTATGATGAGTAACTAATCAAGTTTGTGTTTGTTCTATAAACATGTTAAAGGTATTCAACAATATTTAATGTCATAAAAACACTTTACCTTGATCATGTAAAAAAAATCTTGCGAAGGCGAAAGAAGAAATTGTAATTTGTTCTCGCGAACAATAAAAATAAAATGTCCGGAGACGAATAAGTATTATTTTAAGAATAACTTTTTTTTTGAACAACTGAATTATTTACGCATTATGATTTTTGTATGTGATCAAAAAGTTACATTTTGAAATTTTTATTTGAACAAATGAATATTATTAAAAAATTTACATGAAAAATTAATTCGTATTAAGTTTCTTAAGTACGTCTTCGAGCTTGAGCTTGAAAACCTGTTCGAATAGTAGATACAGAATATTCTGAATGACAAGCATTGCATTTGATTACAGTTAAACGATCTGCTTTTCCTAGCAATGTATGTGGAGAGTGACATGTTTTACAAATGACGTACTCCTCTATAAATGAAAAATAATTCGAATTTTATTTAATAAAAATAATATTAACTTACGAATAAACGTACGAAGAACATGTTGAATTTGTCGTTGTGTAAAACGTCCTCTTATAATTAACGAATGATTTGAATCAATCGATGCTCTAAATATGATAACAGAATAAAATTTATATATAAAAACTACTTCGTTACTTACGTTGTGCCCAATTCAGCTGTAAAATAATCGTGTAAATTTTTTTCTTGTCGTTTAAGCCTGAAAAATGAAGGATTTTTATATGATAAAACGAATAGATAACCGAATAACTTACGCTTTCGATATTAAAGCAAAATTTATTACTGCTGTACGTTTTGTTCCAATACGCGCTAGTTGTGGTGGTGGCATAATGATTCGAGTCACAGGAAGTTCAGTATCACTCGACACTATTCGTGATAACAACTATGAAAAAAAAAGAAAAATAATTGTTTTATTGTAATAAATAACAATCTACTCACATAGTCATAAGTATAATCACTATTGTCATTTATAATATCATTAGCTTCATTCTGAGCTGTATTATCTGAAGCAACAGTTGCGACTGATGCTTCATCTAGTAAATCAGGATTGATGCGCTTTTTATTTTTACTTTTCTTTTTCTTGTTCTTATCGAACAATACCTAAAGAATACATTATTAGCAAATAGAAGTAATAAAGAAAATAATTTAATTTACTTCGTCAGATATATCGTCGTCGATAGTCATTGTTTGTATATTTAATATAACTTTTATATTTATTAATCTAAAAAACAGCGTTAAAATATATCTGTTCTTTTGATTATTACAAAGATCTAGCATAATCCTATCGTTCGATCAGTTGTGATCTCTATTGACATACTTAAGTTTACTATATAGTCGACCTCAGTTCTTGAAGATTAGTAACACATGAGATTTTTAATAATTTTGCATGTGTCACATCATATTCAAGCAGGTACTCCATTTCGGATATACCTACGAGTATTAGTGCTCAAATAGATAAATTCATGAATAATTTATATAGATCATCGGTGATTTGTCTAGTATTCAGATGTGATCATGCTCGAGAATATACGAATTTGAATTGAGATTAGAAATGTAACGGAAGTCATGATAAATAAACAGGAAGATTCATAAATGGAATGATTACTGATTCATCCTTATCGTTCTCACGTGCTTCATCTGAATCAAACGAAAAAACAAAACTTACCGAGATCAGAACTGAAAAGTAAGAATGTACTTAGACTGGACTAAGGTATATTAACGTATATAGATTGAACTCAAGACAAAACTTCAATAGAAGAACCTATCAAGATTTGATTAAAAAATGATGTTTATCCACTGATTGAAAAACGACATTTTTAAATTAAGTCCAAGCCAAATCTTCAGAAGTTCTATCCATAATATGTCTACTCACGTTATCATTGTATTTTCGGGTTCATCTAATTACTCTAACCAAAACTGATACAGTATAAAACTTTATATATATACTCGATTATACTCACTTCGAATTTCATCTGACCTGCTAAACAAGTCTTTTTATATATTGATTGTATTTCTGATGCAATGCAAATCGCTGGGTTTCTGATGCAATGCAAATCTTTGTCATGATAAAAATTATTTCGTAATACAAAAACCAACATCGATTAACACTGACCTCTATCATAATAAAACAAAACAAATTTCTTTTTCTTTTTCTTTTGAATAATTAAACCATAAAATATATTTTATTTTTCTTAAAAATCAATATTCATTCATGATATATTATCTATATATTAAACCAATAAATTATATTGTTTATTTTCTTATTCTATCTATATTGCAGACATTTTGTTTATTTGCTTATATCAATAAGTAACTGTAATCACTTTTTTTTCTATTGTGTATAAAATAGAGTGTTTCTATTACTATTAATTTCATATTCTGTACACTTTTTTCTTCTTGACTAAATCAAGTATTTGATAAATATACAGGTGATTTGTTCGATTAAGAAAAAACAGGATCTATTTCTTTTTGAATAAATTTTTTGTTCTGTTCTCTTCTAGTTGAAAGTATATACATGTGACTATCATTTTTCTATTTTTTCCCACCATTGATGGTGCTTTAAAAATCAAGAAAACAAAATAATTAAATGGCAAATATTGTCGATTCATGTTGTGTAAATATACAAATGACAAAATCAGACAGAAATAATAATAATACAACAGCAACTAATATTAATGATGGTTTGAGAAATAATAAAATCTGATAAATAATTTAATAAATCGTTTTTTTTTTGTCATAGAAGTTTTACCATCATCTGAACAGTGTGATGTTTTATTGAATGGAGCTGATGATAAATCGGAGAATGTAAGTGATTTATTATAATGGAAATTTGCCATTACCGGCATCATTTATATTCTTTTCCCTCAAGGAAAACTTTTAATGTGACGTTTTGTTTTGCTTAAACCATAGTTCATGTTAAAATCTATCTTAGTACATTCTATGCTTAGAATTTATCGATTGTTGTTTTTGATCTTTTATTAATAGATATTATTTGGTAAAGTATAAGATATAGAAAAAGGTTAGTAAGAAGAAAACCCGATGTTCTAAATAAAGATCGAGAGAGTTTTAGCATACGTACTAAACCGTTTGTTGATCGAAATAGCTCCAATACAGAAAGTCCTTCTTATATATTTGTCCAAGACAGTAAATTTCAGATTTTTTCCTATCGTACGCAAATACCGAGAAGCATAAAGTGATTTTACCTTGACTACTAGTACTATCAACTACCTATTTATCATTGTTTTGTAGAAGTTGAATGATAAATTAATAATTTCCATTTTTAGACTGCTGATAGTGATGATCATCAACTCTTATCGAACGATACTAATAGTAAAACAAATACAAATGTTGCTTCGTCACCTACTGATGAACTCGAAGAACCAACAAACATCGAAACATCTTCTAATGTAACAAATTCATATAAAGATTTTTCTGGTATTGATACTAAATTGTTTATTACAACAACATTACGTAATAATCGAAAAGATCGAACATTACTTTTAACTCTTGAAAAAGTTTTTCAAGACTTTATTCAAAATGAAGAACAAACATCATATCAATTTCAAGCAATGAATTCTTGTAAATATCAATTCAATAATTTTAAACTAAAATTATTTTTTGTTTTTTTTCTTCATATAGATGAACGAATGATTGTTCATCGTGTAGCTGCTTTTTTTGGTCTTGATCATAATGTTGATAAAAATGGACAATCTATTGTTGTTACTAAAACAGCTAATACACGAGTGTATGAAAAACAAAAATTTTTATTCTATAAAAAAATTATTTTTATTGTTTTAGTCCTAATTTTTCATTTCAAAGTTTCATTCCGACTGATGAGTTAGCTAATGGTGCTATAACAAGTTTAAATCCTTCAGTTGAAAATACAACACGTCGTATCTCACGTCGAAATGATAAAAATCCTAATCAATCAATATCTACTACAACAAAACCATCATTCGAACGTACAAATTACTATTCTGAAACACGCAATAAATTATCGAATCAACCATTTAATAAACCAAATCGAAAACAACAACATTTTAGTACTAATCAACATATACAACAAACAAATTTTCATCCATCTAGTCATATAATCAATACTAGAGGTAAATCACTGTTACTAATATGTTATTTTTTTCTTCTTCATGCATTTCAATATGTTTTGATTAGCATAAACAGATTTTACTGATTTTGATTGAGTCTAGTATGCATGATGACATGGTACAATTGTTCTGTATTAGGAAAATATTTTTACTTGATTTTCAAGATCAATCTAATTATTGATATGTTGTTGTAATTTGAAAGTATTAGATCTTTAATTACAAATCAATAGATATACACATAGAGTTGATGAAGTTTTAATATAATATGAAATTCTTTTTCTTTCTCTTAGCTCAACTGATTTATTCTCCAACACCTAGCTTATATTATCCACAACAACGACCCATAAATCCTGAATTAAAACCACAAATACCTACTTCTTCTTTGTATAATTTTGTACCAATGATGTCTCCAACATCATTTCAACCTGGAAATGGTATACAATTACCTATTTTACTTCAGCAACAACCTGGTGGACAATTACAATATGTATTTCCTACACAACAACCACATCAATTATCAGCTGATGGTCAATATATGCCGGTAATAAGACAAAAACAAACGAATTAGTTTTCTCTATTAAATTATATTATATATTCTTTAGGTCTATCGATCCGATATGATGCAACCAGTTCTTGATAATAATTCTTCACAACAACCTTTTGTTCATCTATATCCAACTCATCCTTATCCTCATGCACAACCGACAACATATATTCAATCAGGTTAGATTATCTATATGAAATTTCTTTTCCTATAGTTTTATAATTATTTATAGCTCCGTCTTTTATGATTCCACCTAATCATCAAACACCAATTCAATATGCAACAAATCAATTAGCAACATTAAATATACAATCTCATTATGGTAATACACGTTTTCCACAATCGAATAATTCAATGAAATCTTTCGTACAAACATCAACAAATGGTTTAACTCGAATGCCTAATTATTATCCATATCGTCAAACCCGTCCATTAAATACAAATAATAATACTGATAAACAATTAACACCAATCGAGAATGATATTAAATCTACAATTAATAATAATAATTCTGATCAGATTTCTCACTCTGAATTAGTACAAGAAAAAGATTGATCAAATAAAAAACCATCGAAAAAAAAAACAATCTCCTAGTCAATCAATTTTTTTTCCTCTTGTCCTGTATCAATCATCTCAGGGTTTGAAATTACATTAAAAAAAATCTATATGTGAATCTCGATTGTGTGTCCTATCTATCATATCTATCTATTTTTCTTTTTGTTAGTGTTGTTCTGTAATGAATGACAAAAACAAAGTCAAACATAAATTTTGTAAACTAAGTGTAATTTGTTCGTCTACTTTTTACATAAATATGAAAGATTCAAAAGAAATATATAAGATGTAATAAATATAAAAGATTCAATATTGATAAAACAAAAGATACAAACATTAACTGGGAGGGATGAAAAATGTTACTATCATATATATGTATAGAATACTACATTAGTAGCCTGATGTTAAAAAACTAAATCATTGAATTAAACGTAAGAAGGTATTACATCATCTTATTCTCTATATGTATATCGTGATTTTTAAGACAATGATCTTCTGTGCTTTGAAGAAGTAAAATAAAATGATGAGTGTATAGTTCATTATGATATTCAATCATTGATAGAGACTATAGGCATGTAACCGAACGGTTCGGGGTGGTTTGGACCGAACTCTAACAATTTAAGCATCGAAATGATTTTTCTGATATATGTGGAGCCATATTAATAGAAATTATGAAGTATCAACGGAACCCGAACGTTCGGGTTCGCTACATGTCTAAGAGACTATCTTTTATATTGATGAAACAATATATTCGATTTTATCTGTTACTTCTTACTAATAATAGAAAAATCCGATATGACATATTTTTAATGATAATTGAACTAATCACGATGTCTTACAAGTCTGACATAACTTTCTTATATTTAATCCATCTATGTAAGTAAATTCTCTATTGAAATATCATAACACGATTTGCAACATGTCAGTTGTAAATAGATAGTTGATCAGGTAAAGATTGTAGAATGACATGAGCCTTGAAATTTTCATAATATTAATTTATCAAATTGACATGAATAAATAGGTTACGGTTGTATTTCTTTAAAACAATATTTATTAAAAATATCCTTTTCTTATTCTTTCCTTCTTCTTCTTCTTCTTCTTCTTCTTCTCCTTCTTCTTCTTTTTTTCATATTCTCAGTCAAATATTTTTTTGTCAAGTTATGTCAATAGCTAAATCCAAATTGACATAACGGTAACGACCTATATAAAAGGATCAAAAAAGAAAAAATCTTGCGACAAAAAAAAAAAAGAATCCGATAAAACAAAGTAAGAAAGTAAAATATAATAATGAAGAAAAACGAGCAATTTAACGTGTCATTTACATAGATTTATGATGTACTTTATGTTCCAACAAAAACAATTCTTCTACTTATTGTCTATTTT